AACAAAGTTATAAAGAAACACGTAGTCTAGTAACAAAGTTATAAAGAAACACGTAGTCTAGTAACAAAGTTATAATAGAAACCCGTAGTCTAGTAACAAAGTTATAAAGAAACACGTAGTCTAGTAACAAAGTTATAAAGAAACCCGTAGTCTAGTAAGTAAGTAACAAAGTTATAAAAAACACGTTGTCTAGTAAGTAACAAAGTTATAAAAAACACGTAGTCTAGTAAGTAAGTAACAAAGTTATAAAGAAATGCGTAGTCTAGTAAGTAAGTAACAAAGTTATAAAGAAATGCGTAGTCTAGTAAGTAAGCAAAGTTATAAAAAACACGTAGTCTAGTAAGTAAGTAACAAAGTTATAATAGAAACGTAGTCTAGTAAGTAAGTAACAAAGTTATAAAGAAATGCGTAGTCTACTAAGTAAGTAACAAAGTTATATAAATATGTAGTATAGTAAGTAACAAAGTTATAAAGAAACACGTAGTTTAGTATTTTGTTTGTTTGTTGTTAAGCACAAAGCTACACAATGGGCTGAATGAGCTCTGTCTATGGCGGGGTATCGAACCACGTAATTTAACGTTGTAACTACGTAAACATATCGCTGACTCATGGTAGGACAATACAGAGTGAAAATAGACTGCATTTTCTTGTTAACTGTTTTGATTCAAATTTATAAAAAGAAATGTTACTGTACACAACAACAACAAAAAAGGATTATTTGATGCTTACAACAAAAATAATCATATATATCCCATGTCTGATAACGGTTGGCTGCAGCAGACCATCAAGGACGACAGGACGAGGATAAAGTGGTGAGCAAACTTTCCGCCGCGTTCCCGAGAGCCACGTGTCAACAAAACTCGCAGAAACAAACTTTATTTGGTTGTCTCACTTTGCCTAAAGTCGCCGGTTATAAAGACAAGATGCAGTCTGAATGGCACAATCTCTGTCGTAATGGCAGATATTTATCAGTCCATAAAAAATTCTACACATTAAATGTAATGCAATTCATCGATCTTGGTATAATAAATGACTTTTAAGGAAAAGTCAGAGAAAAATTGTTGGACAATTGAAACTGACATTTTTTTTCTTTATTCTTAATTCATCTCAGTCAATTCTTCTGTAACAGATGATTGAAAACGTTTTATAAACAACTTACTGAAATTCCCAGCAGGAATGGTTACCAATTTTTGTAATATTTTTGGATATGATGAGAACTTTTATTTACTGGATCTGTGAAAGTAACAGTGGTTTCTAACAACTATACATAACACGTATAAGACATTGATTCCTCTGTCATATATATATATATATACAAATACG